GAAAATTAACACAATAAAGGATTAATTTCATGAACACTTACGTATTGCGTTAATCATTATGCATAATCTTTCATTATAGATGTGTGTAATATTGGCAAGAAAAGAAGCGCAAAATACATATATTAAGCTAAACATAATTTCGCGAATAAAAATATAATGTTATGCAGACAATGAAGACCTCTCGCACGCATATTCAAATAGCCATGATATCATAGTTTGTTGTAATTCGTACATAAATAGTTTTCATCATTAATAAGTGAGATTAATCGAAAATTTGATTGCACGGACTATAATATTTATCTCGTTGTGTTAATTATAGTTTATTGATGTGTTATATTTAATTTATATACAACAGTATTAGCAATATTATTAATATCAAAAATTATACGTCGAATTAATTCGATCTCTCTCTCTCTCTCTCTCTCTTATTTTTCTCTCCCCCCCTTATTTTTCAGAATTATTGCACGTATTTAACTTTATAATTAACAAAAACTTAAAAAAAATAAAGTAATGATTAATAGTGATTAATGATGTGCAAAGTAATGTGATATCCAATATTATCTCATATTATACATCTAAAAATGAAAAGAGAAGTAGACGATAATTTTCAATCTTGGTAGTAAGAAATCAATTTAAGAATAAGAGTAACATATACCTTTCTAAAACGCGAATCATAAAACTTATTTTAATATCTGTAATAAAATTGATAAATACCTAAAAATATAGAAATAAATAAATTAAATAGTTTGTTCCATAAGTTTTCGAATAACCGTCAATAGCCGAAAAAACACTTTTTGGTACATTTGAAATCGGTTATTAACTAAACTCAAAACCTATGGAGCAAACTACAATCACTTTGATCTCATATGAAAGATAATTTAATTCCGAACAAAAAGTTTCCCGTAAACATTGGTCGAAAAATGCTTCCTTCAAAAGTTAGCGCCCAAAAACCTCTGAAATCACGGTTATTTTTTACATTTTTACAAATATCAGGGAAAGTATGCGTCTTTTAACAAAAAGTACCGAAACAAAAGTTGTAGAGAATTAAATTATCTTTCAAATGAGGTCAAAGTTATTGTATTGGGTTAAACGGAAAGTTCGTGCCGTTTTTTCGGTCTTCATCTCTTAGTAATAAACGGATGGAACTTTACGTTCAACCCAATAGATCTCTTAGTAAAGATTAAATTTATTACCAGAAACAGATATATAAAGTTCCGGATATAAAATTTATCAACAAAAGCGAGGCGAAAAAGAAGAAGAACATGGCTATTATCAAACTTGCTATATTTTACAAAGTCAAAAATGTTATTTATTACAACATACTTCTCGAGCTAATCCATGTTTTGGAATGATCATTGTAATGAGATTTTAGTTTGCTAAATTATATAAATGTGCATAAAAATTACATTTAAAATATCTTAAAGGATTGATTAGCAAAGATATATATATTTAGTGAGAGAGAGAGAGAGAGAGAGAGAGAGTGAAAGAGAGTGAGAGGGAGAGAGAGAGAGAGTGTGTGTGTGTGTGTGTTTAATTATAATAATTTAAATATGTAGAAGCTCGGTCCTATGTACGGATCCAAATAGATTTCTCAGTAAACTTTGAATTTACTTCGTTATATCAGCGAGCTTTCATGCGAAATAGCATCTCAACAAGGGCGAGGTAGAGAGAAATCTTTCGATAATACTGTTACTATTAGGCAAAATAATATGATAATCCGATAGCAAATTACGCGCGCGGATCTATTACCGATTCCATGATGATCAGTAAATTATCTTTTGGTTGATATTTCAATTGCAAAATCTATTTATTATTAAATTCTTCAAGCCTGATATTGATGTTTTTGCAGTTATTAGTTACCAGATACTCGCTATATTCAAGGGAAGAAATGAGTTTGACAATGTTTTTATTAAATTATATATAAAACCATGAATTCATGAATTAAAACGGACAAGCCTTTCGACAAATATACATATTAAAAAAAGGTAGCAAAGTATTTTAAAATACTCAAACAAATTATAAAACATTTTACTGTTTTTTCAACAACATATAATATAATTTAAAAATATTTTGAAATATTTTATTTCGATTCTTTAATGCGTGCATATATGATGAATAGAGTACTGAAAATTTTGAAATTTATTAATATCTGACCAAATTAGCATTCAATTATTCATTTCTGTTTAATTAATTCACGCATATAATATAATTACGCATGCGTATAATTATATTATATAATTATCAAAAAAAAGCAAGCGTAATTCGTCGCATTTCACGTTGATGTAGTTTAATTGCATGAATTCCTCATAGCAGAACTCTTTCCAGGGACGATAAATAATAAGCGTTTCCGCTTTTCGCCTTTTATTTTCCTCGTTAGCATGTAGTAAAAACAAAGAATAATTATTTGATATAGAAATAATTGTCACTGCGTTCTCGATAGTCGCACCGTGTCGAACATTTTTAAATCTCCGCAGTCGACTTATTTAAGCTTTTTTTTTTCGAAATAATTGTCCTTGCGGGAGCGATTGATTCAATGACGAGATCGAAGAGTGTAGAGTTGAGTTCTCCACCATCCCCGACGCGACCGTAACGAGAGAGGGAAAACGAGGTCGACTCGAGAGAATACGGTCGACGACCTCGTTCTTCCCATCTTCGTTGTCCCCCACCGTTCTCAGTCGCATCTTTTTCCTTCGTCGCCTCCGAATGGAAATCACGTTACGAACGATCGTAGCGCGAACTGTAAATTATCCGCGACGCCGATAAATCTCACCATCATACCAGGTGCCTATCGCATTTAATTGTCACGTTGTCAGCGACAGAAAACTTAATACATGTCATCAAGAAAAAATCTTCAAAATTTTATTCTTATTTATTGTTAATTTTTTATCTACACAAATATATATATATATATATATATATATATATACGCGGAATTTATAATCAAAATTATTTTAATAAAATAATACATGCTAAAAGAAAAAAAAGAAAGTGGAAGAGAGGAATTTCTATAATTGAAAAAATAGTATCCTCTAAGTACGACAAAATTAGTATGATTTAAAAGGTATCACTAAATCTTGCAAATTTTAAGATCAAGTTTTTATTGATAAAAACAAAACAATTTGAAATTATTTTAACACAAGTCGGTATCAGTTTCGATTAAAAAAATTATTAGATAAAATCAAATTACTAAATCTTTTAAAACTTCAAAAGTTTTGTGTTATCACTTTTCTTCATCTATCTTTTAATCACAAACGAAATGCGGTTGTCGCCTCGCAAGAAACGCGCCCGGAGCTCTTGCAGTCGTCGACGTGCAAAATGCAAAATGACGTGTGTTGCATTAAAAAGCAGTTCCAGCAAAGTTAAGGGGCACACGCATGCATGCCGTTATATATTTTATTTCGTTCGACATAGCCGGGAAAAGCGCGCGCACGTGGCTTTTTAAAACAAAGACATCGTCCATTGTGATTTATGCCGCGGCTTTCGCGCTCCTTTCTGATACCGGCGAGTTACGTGAATAATCTATCATGTAATCGCCAAAGCGAAAGTAAAACAAATGGCATTGCTTTCGGAAAGCTTTTAGCTCGGGAAACCTACCGAAGCTTTTATTTCTGTTTCAAGAACAGTGTGCAACGAGATACGTCTTTTATTTATCAATGTCCAATACGAAGCTACTGTTCAAGGCATCCATTATGATTCATAATCATTCCGAGGAAAAATGGCGTTGTAAATTCTATAGATAGTATCGATAAATTTAAAAATAGAATTTTTGAAGTTAATGAAATATATTAGGAGTGCAAGAATTTAGATATTATGTATGTGCGTGTATATAGAAGGATTCAGATCTATTATATAAATATTATGAAATATCATTAAATATCATTAAATATTCATAAATAAGAATAATTATCTGTATAAATTCATAATCTCAATTGATTAACGCTAATCTATAATAAATGCTAGCAAGATGGTTTCAGACGATTTATGACATTTTCACACAGAAATCAAAATTCAGATAATAATGTCATCATCGTTTCCATAAGAAATTTCTCGAAATTTCGAGAGCCGCATGCAAATTTCATGGAAATGCGGTACGGTGTCTCCACGTTGCGAAATTTCAAATGTGATGCCGTCGCGCTCGTGGGACACCTTTTATTGCACACAGATCAGATGAGATTCTACAAATTATGTACCATTTAAAACAATGATTATTACAAAATGAGACATAAATAATGTATTGTGCGAGACTCTAAGTATATTGCATGATCTATTAACACTCTCGCCCGAATTTTCTAATAACAGATTGTGCCGTCATTTTCTTAACAAATATCGAAATGTATGTGTTTACTCGACCATAAAAATAATGGATTATATATATATATAAATAAAAATTGAGAGAAGACGATACTGGCGCGCAGAGAGTAAATTAGTTTCTATTTTCCAAAACAAAACTAGCTTGCATTTGATTGCATCTTTTATTTTTCCTCTTAAATTTTTTGGCTCATCAATTTACATCAATCTGTATGACATAAATTATTGCTAATGATGAAATGACGCAACATGCATTATATGAATATAAACACACGCAAATAAGATTTATGCTTCAATTTTTGATTATCTCGTTACGATTTCCAATATTGAGTATAAAGATTATTTTAGGGCACATTATCTATAAAAGCTGTATATAAATCAGAAAATTTAGATATGAAATCCAATTTGATTTTATCTGAATTAAAGTTCAATATATAGAAATTCAAATTATATATGTCTCTGACCTATCAACTATACTGTTAGATAATATCACATAACACCTCAATTACCATTGATACGGCTATCATTAATTCGGATTTAACCCAATATTGAAAATCCGGATTAACCACGCATGATTAATATCGAGGTATAAATGAGGCATAAATGTATAATTAACAATTAATTATTAACGCAATGATAATTAACTAATTATTCCAAATTATGCTGATAAAAAGAAAATCTGACTCACTTACCTAATTCCGGACCACAGACTCTCGGTATAATCTCCAAAATAGCGCTACACGATGAGTCTTCGTAGCACAATTGACGGGCGTAGAGGCAATTCAGTATAGCCATCGGTACCTTGATGTTCAATCCTGAAACAAGATAGACGTGATATTAAAAAGCCAATGCGCACATAAAGAATGCGCTTTCAACATTTTTCTCGCGCCGCAGCGCGACGGGCAAGATTAAAACCCGACATTACGGCCGGAAAAGAAGAAAAGGAAAGGGGAATTCCATTGAGATCAGTTTGCCAGCGCCGAAAAATTCGGGAAATTCGTCGTTATTACGGCAAATTATCGCGTGACAAAACCGTTCGAAAGACGATGCCGCGGCGTGGCAAGGGAGGAAATGCGAAAGTACGCAGTGATTTAATATCCCCCGCGCGATAAAGCGTTTCCGTTATTTATAACCGGCCGACGTGAAACTCTCCGACGACGACAAATTATATTTCATTAGGCGCGCACGGATAGTTTGAATGAGAATAAAAGGGCGCGAATAAAATGGGCGCACGCGTCTGTACCGACTCGTCGTAAATCAACGCGAATAAAATGTGATGTCCGAATAGAATTCTTTTTGATAAAGATAAACGCATTTCGGATAAAATTTTTTTGTAAAGCATCGGAAAGTCTAGTTAGTTTTAATACAATAATAAAGTTAACGAAATAATGAAATAGTTGTATCCAAAATTTATAATTTTTTGGAAAAGAATGCAATCGACAATTCATGGTTTTACAGAATCTTGATATGTGAAAAGCTTCAACGTGCTTTCACAAATATAAAAACTATTTATATTAAAATATATGTCTGGGAAAAATACATAGATATTAAAAAATTTTGAATTAAAAATTTAGATTAGTATATAATTTTAAAATTGATCGATTTATGTGAGATATACATTCTATAGAATATTTTTAAAACGAATTTTTTAAAATTGCAGATATGAGAGAAAATAAAGTTAAAAAATGCCGCTTGTTTTAATATTGACCAAATTTCAGAGCTTCTGCAAAAATTATACGATCGTAAAATTAAAGAATTCTTGTTAAATGAAAAAAGTTTTATAAACTTTAAAATTCTTATATTTATCCATATATTTCGGAAAATTTTCCAATTCCCGCTTCTTCATTTGAACGTATAAAGGTTTAAAGCAATCAATTATGAGTGTTATACTTTATCATTTATATACTATGCAATTTTTTTGCAACCACAAATTTGCAAATTGCTGAACATGTGAGTATAAAATGCAAATTGCGTTGCCGTTAATGCACCGATAAAACTGCATAAATCAAGCTTTTTAGTTAATCAAACGACGCGATCAGACGTGCATGTGCATAAAACAGTGCAAAGTGACTTTTCGATTTCGTCAATAGATGATATGATACTTATCTTTCCGCGATTTATTTTACCTGATTCCTATAATTCTACATAATTCAATTTATATAAGCAATTGCAAATCCTTTACCATAGGATCGTTTTTTCATTGGAACTTTTATTATGTGTGTAAATATATATTAATGTGTAGTAAAATTAATAAAATATATTTAGAAGATAAATGCTTCTCTCTTTCTCTCTCTCTCTCTCTCTCTCTCTCTCTCTCTCTCTCTCTCTCTCGTTACATACACAAGAAGCGTAGAATGCTTTTCAAGTTAAAATTATTAAAAAATAGTAGAAAATTAAATACATTAAATCATAAATAAATAATAATTTTTATTATATAAATAAAATATTGAAATAAATTATATTATGAAAGGATGATTACTTTTTTCTAAAAAAGATACCTCTTATTTATGACAAAGCAATATATCGAATGTCAAATAATATTTCGTTCTATTTCTCCGAATATACCTGTATTGTCCTAGTACACAGTATCGAGAATTGAGTTGCCACCGTGGAGATGTCTTTTCGCATTACTGTATACCGGAAATGTCGTTGCCAGTCGGATTACATCCTACGAGATGAACGAATGAAAGCGCCGTTGCCGGAGCAAAAGAGGGTCACGAGCATCGCTTATGATACCTTATGATATCACAATGTGCCCCTCCGTGCGCGCACAAATTTGTTTCGCGTTTGATGTATCGTGCAATAGCGTAACGGAAATACGAATCTCTTCTTTCATTTCTCTTTCTCTCTCTTTCTCTCTTTGGACGAAATTCTCAAAGATGTAGGAGCACTTTCAGAAATGGCCGTTGTCAAAGGCTTCATTCGACGCTCGCGATTGCAGAAATCCGTCTATTTCGGCGCCGAACGCGAGGAGAAATACGACATTGTGACCTGGGCTCTTTCAAAATAGCTCCCACGATTGTCAAAATCTTCCATCTCCCGCGGAATTGCCCCGACTGTACCGCACCGTAAATCGCAAATGCAGGAATATTTCCGCGCGTATAATTAAATTTTCGTCTTTGAAATTCTGTTCCCTAAAATTTCCAATATTTGATTATAATTGATTCAGTAATGTCAATAAAATATGCATGCATAATATATGTGCATCTGTTTGTATAAATGTTCTGTCATTTTATACTCGGACATTCTGTCGTTTGCCTAAATAAATTAAAAAACGTCGCTTTAATCAACCATATTAACATTACTTTCTCGCTTATATTCGCAAACGTATTAATATCGCCGCTATATAATATAATATATATACCAGTTAACTACCGCCGCTATAAATTCTCCCCCTTATTCACACAGGATGATCGGAAAAATCCTGCTGTCACAATGTGGTGCCCGAGCCAATGCACGCTCGAGTACGGTCACGAGGCGACTGCGCCTCCTATATACGGAATTTTTTATAGTCGCTTGTACCCGCCAAGCGTCCTTTTCCCTGCAACACTCTGCTCGTTCACCCCTTCTCCATTGCCAACGTTTCGTAATTAATTACAGTACAGGCAGAAGAAGGAACCGTGCACTCCTCTTTTATCGACTTCCGTTTCGTGAGAGACTCGTAAAAACGCGCGTGTTCGATTTTTGCCGTGTCTTTCTCACTCTCTTCCATATATGTTTTATTCCATTTTCTCCATCCCTCTATATATATTCTCTCATCCTCTGTTTTTCTCTCATCGCGAAAAATCTCGTTGCAGCAATTCACTACTGTGATGAGAGAGGAACAAACAACGGTGAATGGATTGTTAAACTAGAATAGTATAACGATGAGAAGTCGCGTTAGGCAACATACTTCCGGTATCTCGTGTTGTTGGAAGATGAGGACATTATTTAATTCATATAATAACTGCAATTCTCTAAATCAGTTCCACATATGCAAATTTATTATTCGGCATCATAGTCATAAAAATGTCGAACCTTTTGTATATATAATGCTTTAAGTATATTACACTATAGTTTTAAGGAAGATTAAATATTGACTGTTAATTAATAAAGATAAAATTTTAATTGCTGATTATCAAAAACTGCAATTCCTGGATCAGTGAAATAAAGAAAAGAATCCAATCTTGTCTACTAAATTTTCACCTTACTATAAAAATTATCCTCATTGGAGAAACACGAATTCTAGCAAATACATGCAACATCCTTAACTGTATCCTGGATGCTCGCACATACCTGTACTCACCATTTTTTTTCAAACTGCATCTATTTCGGTTACAAATCGGTTTTTAAACCGAACGTTCCTTTAAAATTCAATTTAGCGAGTGGATTTCGCGCGCACGCTTCTTCTCAAGATGCACAGCGCTTTATGTCCTGCATTAAAAATGAGTAGTACTACTTATTTTTCTTCCCGCCGTCGTTAAGCGAGAAAGTGCCTCCGCGAAAAAGTGCAGAAGAAAAAGAAGGGTGGCAGAGAAGAGAATAAAAGAAGGTATACATAGAAAGAAAGAAAAAGAGCGTGAGAGAGAGTAACAAAGAGAGAGGGAGAGAGAGAGAGAGAGAAAGAAAGAACTTCCATTCGCCTAAAACAACGAGCGATTATAAAACCGCGGCCGAGATGCCACAAAAAGGTTCAGAGGGGAAAAAAAGCTGCGCGCTGCAACGAAGAATAATTATTCCGCGGAAGGAAGGCAACAAACGGCGGTAAGGAGGGAGGCTTCTGGACCAGAGCATATAATAAAGCAAAATGGAAATATTATTCCGCCCGCTTCTCTTTTTCTCTCTTCGTTTTTCCCGTCACTTTTACGATGCGTTGATGAAGCACAAACAATATATACAGGTGTTTGTGTGAAAATTGGAACTTCTATATCCGGTAATTCATGGTAAAGAACTGTAAGATAAAAAAATTTCTGCGAAAGTAATCTGGAAGCGCTCAAGTCCTCCGCTAAAAGCATTTTCAATCATGAAAATCATGAAAATCATCTTTTTAACGTCGCTTTTTTAACAGTTTTATAAAGTTTTTTAAAATGACAGTTGTACAAAAATTATTTGTACAAAAGTATTTTCTTTTGTAATAAATAAATTGAGTAGAATTACATACTTTTGTGTCATGTACAATATATAAGTACAGTTGTGTGAGTACAATACATTAGTTATTATATAGCCCCAACTGTATTATACAACTGTTTCATACACACATTCATGTAATAAATATGCTTTAGGTATACTTAAATAAGAGTGTTTCCTTAGGAAATATATTTGCTACTACACAGAGAAATAAACAATTAAAGAAAAAATATATAAAAAATATGTCCACTGTTGTGTATAATCTATTGTATCATCTTTCTGAAACGCGTTGACCATTTCTGCCGAATAATCCGACGATATTTATCATGCGCGTGTTCGAAGGATCAAGATAGGCGAACAATATTGTATATCTGGTCGATTCGCAGGACTGTTGTGAAAATCAGGCCGCCATCAGTCACAATTATATATTGATATTCGAGTACGTCACGATGTTTCTAGGCAAGGCAAGCACACGCAGGTTTATCGCAATGTAAATCATAATGCGTAGCGTGTGATTACAAATTACGCGACTACCTTTGTACTCAGCGCCCTTCCATCATGTCGGCATTATTAGATATATCGCTATTGAATCATGTATGGAGGTTAGCATTTGTATCAAGATGTATCCAAGAAACTTTATTATAAATATACAATACAAAGATACAAGCTAGAAAATAAAATGTTTAATGCGCATGAGAGTCAAACGAGT